GCTAAGCTGCACCGTCCACAACTAGATTGAAGATAACAACTTTACTTGGAGCTGATGGGTCCAGGAAAAACACACTGTTCTCCAAAAAATTTATTAAAAACAAAACCAAAAAAAAAAAAGAGGAAATAACCTAAGGACTCCGAAAAGGAAACAAAAGCAGATAGATTGGGGACTGAAATCAAAACTTGAATAATAAACCTATAAAACTGGAGGGTTGAGGGGAAGTGGCTGTGAGTGCCATTTTCTCCCTCCTTTCTTTCCTGGTTTGGAGAGCAAGGCAGGCTGAATTCCAAAACTACGCAGAGGGTGCTGACAGCAAAACTATGGGAGAGCCCCATTTCTAGCCACAGCACTGGGAAGAAGTTGGGCCCTGCATATAACAATATAAGAAGAATTCCTGATTATTTGCTCTCCAACATTTTATTTTTCTCCCCCAAAAATTGCCACTGTGAGACAGGCATCTAAAATTCCAGGAGAATACACATGTTTCTGGCCAGAGGAAGTCAAGATGGGAAAATACAAGATGAGCCTGGAATATCTTTTGGTGCCAGAAAGCAAAGCAGTGCTCAAAAAGTAATGGGGACATATTCAAAGGATACATGTTCCAACTTGAAGGAGCTCCCAACAAGCAAATGTGGAATAATATGAGCCACAAAATGAACAATTCGATTACAACTCACAGAATAAAATAAATATAAGTCCACATTAATATAAATAATGGGATAAATAGGGGAAAACAGACAGCTTTTCCTTAAAATCACTATTATAAATGCAGAAGTAATGAAAGAAATAGAAAATCACCACTAGACAAACATCACAGCAATAACTGCTTCAGGCAAGATGAATGCTAAAATTTGTGAGCTTAATTATGAGGAGAAACAGGAGATCTGCATAGTCTCAAAGTATTTCCCCACAAGATACTCATTAAATATGAAGAGAAAAAAATTTTTTACACTGGAGGAACCCAGCAGACACCAACTTAACAGAGTAGTCAAGGTTAACATTACCAGTAATAAGACATATTGTCATCCTATACCCTTTGCTTGATGCAATGAAAAGAATTCAATATCACTTTGTGGTACTCCTGTAAAGGGCATAATACCCTCAATCTAATTATGAGATGATATTAGACAAATACATATAGATGGACAGTCTAGAAAATAACTGATCAATACTGTTCAAAAGTGTCAAGGTCATGAAAGACAAGACGGGGGAACTGTCACAGATTGGAGTAGATTAAGGAGACATTACAAATGAAAGCAATGTGGGATGCTAGATTAGATTTTGAAGCACAAAAAGGACATCAGTGGGGAAGTAATGACAACTAAATAAGATCTATAGTTCACTTCAGAGGTCAGAAAACATTTTATGTAATAAGTCTGATGGCAAATATTTTTTCAACTTTTGTAGGCTCTATAGTCTCAATTGCAACTACTCATCTTTACTCGACTTTGCCGTTATAAACACATGAAAGCAGTAACTGAGCAAGTATGACTGCCAATATAACTTTATAAAACAGCAAAAGATCAGGGCCGGCCAAGTGGCTCAGTTGGTTAGGAGCTCGCTCAAGAGTTTGAGCTCTGAGCAACAGCGGTTCAATTCCTGGCCCAAGCTGAGCAGCCGCTGAGCTGCCAGCAAGTGGCTGAATGGCTCAGCTTAAAAAAAAAAAACATCAAAAGACTGAATTTAGCCTACTGGTGTAGTTTGCCAACACTTGGTTTATTTAATAGTATTGCATCAATCAGTGTCAATTTCCTGATTTTGATTACTGTCAATTTCCTGATTTTGATTACTGTACTATGTAGTAAGTATAAGGTATTAAAGAAGCTGAGTAAAAGGTATGTAGAAACTCTACCATTTTTGCAACATTTCTGTAAATCTAAAATTATTTCAAAATAAATTTTTTAAAAAAGATCTACCATGACCTGAGATCAAAACCGAAGGTCTGATTCATCTAAAAAAATTACAGACATAAATACTATAAAAAATTGCTACAGGGGGGCAGGGAAATGTAGAAATTCATGTGATGAAAGAGTTCTACAGACAGATATTGATAATTGCACAATGATGTGACTATACTTAATGTCACAGAATTATACGCTTAAAAATGGTTAACATTTTGTTATAATTACTTTACCGCAAGAAAAAACAATTAACAAAACTGTTAAGTAACTGGGAACTGTGGAGAGAAAAAGTGTCTACATGCATGCACACACAAATTTTCTGATTAAGTATAATTTTAAGCCTAGTATTAAGTTTTCATCAAACATTTTATTTTTAAATTTTCAAACTTACCAAAAATTTGAAAGAATTGTTGAATGAATCACCATATCCCTTCTCCTAAATTCACTTATTAACAACTTACTACATTTGCTTTATCTCTCTCTGTACATGCACACATACTTTTTTGCACTGAACCATTTCAAAGTGCAGACATCATGACATTTCACCCTTAAGCATAAGAATATGCTGTCCTACATAACTAAACACCATTATCACACTTGAAAAAAATAACATCGATTTAATGTCATCTAATATAGACAATTACATTTTTGAAATTATCACCAAAATAACTTCTAGAACTTTTTTCAAATTTAGATGAAAATTACAGTTTGCATGCTGCACTTCATTTAATAAGTAATCTAATCTCTTCTTTTTCCTCATTGCCCAACACAAGTTTCCAGACAATATAGGGACACCAGAGAATGCAAAACTTGGAAATTCAATTTCAAAGAGTATCAATCACTACAATCATAATCCACATTAGAAATATATATATATAAATACAGAAATATATATTTTAATTTATTCCTTCCTACACAAACAAACAAAAACCACTAGGGCAATAACATACCCACAGAAGAGGACAGTGAAAACATAGGTCACAGAAAACCCGGGTTTTAATAAAGCATCTTGAATGTAATTGTTCCCACTAAAGGACTCTATGTCCTGGGGTGGCCGAGTGGCTCAGCTGGTTAGAGCTCGTGCTCTCAGCAACAGGGTTGGCAGTTCAATTCCCACAAGGGCCAATGAACTGTGCCCTCCGCAACTAAATTGAAGAAAACAACTTGAGCTGAGCTGCAGCTGAGCTTCCGGTGGACAGCTGGATGGCAAAGTTGGTTAGTATGCAAGCTCTTAACAATAAGGTTGCCAGTTCGACTCCAGCATGGGATGGTGGACTGCACCCCCGGCAACTGGACTTGAAGCTGAGCTGCGCTCTCCACAACTAAGATTGAAGGACAACAACTTGCTGTGGAGCTAGCTAATGGGCCCTGGAAAAAACACATTCCCCATTAAAGTTAAAAAAAAGGGACTCTATGTCCTGAACTGAGCCTCAGAGACAAAAATCAATACTTCTCATTTTATTGAAGATGCACAGGGATTCATGTTGTTATATAACCTGCTAAATCGTTTAATTCCTTTCTAGAATCTGAAAGACAAGCTTGTAGTCATGCTGCAATTTGTGACATAAGCATTCACAAAATGATATACCACTATTTAGTGTAGCATGAAAATGTCCATGACATATAAACTATATGTAGATGGGAGGAGAGAACGTCCTCTTCCTCTTCTTTAATGGGTAACCATTGCTCAATAGACCTTAAAAGGTTCAGAATTCCAAGATTTTTTCCCTTAGCTCTTCATTTGCACAATATTACAACTCCACTGGGCAAGCTCAACTACTTTTGTGGTATTAAAAACATACCACGACAACTCCAAAGACCTGACAGTCATTCTTGACTTTTCTCTTTCATATCAGCTAATAAAGCTTAAAAATTCAACCTCCTGTATAATTCAAGTCAACCCTCCTCTTCTCCACACTTGGCATCAACTATAGCAATATCCTCCAAACAAATTCAAGGCCTTCAATCTCACAGAATAACAGGCAACTAACCTGATCATATTACATACTTAATTAAAAACTTTCAATGGGAAATATAAATAGTTGTGCTGAGGTTGTGATTCTTGAGTAATAGTAATGAATGTCCTTGTGCCTTTATCTAGGTGCCATATGTGTTTATCAAGTTGTCCACTAATGAAATGCACACCTCTCTCTATGTATAGCATATCCCAAAAATTTTTTACAAGTGGTAGCATTCTTCTGTGAATATACTAAAAATAATTAAATTGTAAACTGTAAATTATAATTTTAAGGGCCGGCCGAGTGGCACGTTGGTTAAGAGTTGGCTTGGGATGCCAGCTCTGAGCAACAGGGCCCCGGTTGGATTCCACATGAGGGCCAGTGACGCTGCACACTCTACAGCTAAGATGGTGAACAACAGCTCGACCTGGAGTTGGGCTGCCATGAGTCGCCCGCGACAGCGTAGGCTGCAGCCCCTGCTGCAGTAGGCTGCCATAAGCTACCTTGTGTGGCTGGCAGCCAGCATGAGCGGCCGGCAGCCGGCATAAGCTGCCATGAGCCGCCATGTGGNGGAATTATTGTTAATTTTTAGTGTAATAATGGTACTGTAGTAATGTTTAAAAGGTCTTTATCTTTCAACAATATATTATTAATTACATATGGACAGAATGATATGATCTCTGAGACTTCCAAAATATAATCTGAACGTATGAGAATAGATGAAACAAGACTGGCCATGTGTTTGCAACTGCTGAAGCTGAGTAATGGGTACAAAGAAATTTATAATACTACCCCCTCCCCCTATACATGTGCTTGAAAATTTTTACAATAAAAAGTTTATTTAAAATTTTTCAATCCTTTATGGATTTAAACACAAATTTTTAAACACTTTTCTACGCCAGAAAACACAATCCCTTTTGCTCATCATTCAAGAATCTCAACTCTTTCCATCTACCTAGGTATATTAATATAGCTTAATGAAGATTTTTAAATTGCATGAAATACTGATAGTAGAGAAAAACAACTGTCACTAAACATCTGTGGTTGATTACAATATTCTATTCTTGAAATACTGAAATATATCTATGAATCTATGGAAATCATATGTTAAAAAGATATCACAAAAAAACTGGTTTACCTCTCTTAATTTCTCTCTCTCACGCTCCCTCTCAGCAATACGTTTTCGCCTCTCTTCCTCTTCCTTAAGAGCATTTTGTGTTTCTGTTCTTAGTTTATCATCTTTAAGAATCTTTCGAATTTTCTTTCTGCCTTTCCCAGGAGACTTGGAATCATCATTTTCATCATCTTCTTCTTCGTCCTCTTCATCGTCTTCTTTATCTCCTTCATCAGAATTACTCTGGAAATGAAATGATCAGAGGTAAATACAACAAAATTACCTAATTTATCCACTTCATATTAAAATAAGTAACATACCAAAAAATGGTGGAAACATACTAAAAGTTTTCAGAAGTTTACTTTGCAAAAACAAAAAAACAAAAAAACAAAAAAAAAAACAGGATTATTAACATACACGCAAAACCCAAAAGTGGGACAAGGGACTGGAATAGACTTTTCTCTAAGAAAAATATAGAAATGTTCAATAAGAGCGTGAATAGATACTCAGTATCATTTGTCATTAGGGAAATTTAAATCAAAACCACAAATGAGATATTATTTGGATGGCCATTTAAAACAAAACAAAACAGAAAATAGCAAGTATTGGTAAGGATGTAGAGAAATTGGAAGCCTGGTGCATTGGGAAAACACTGTGACAGTTCCTCAAAGAATTAAATACAGAATCACCACATGATCTGGCTAGTCCACTTCTCAGATTATAACCAAAAGAATTAAAAGCAGGGATTCAAACAGATATTTGTATACCCAAATTAATAGCATCATTATTCAAGATAGCCAAATATGGAAACAACCCAAATGCCCATCAACAGATAAATGAATAAATATAATGTTATATATACATACAGTGGAATATAATCCAGCCTTTAAAAGAAAAGAAATTCTGATACATGCAAACACATAGCATGTGTTTGAAAGCATTATGTTAATAACATAAGCCAAACACAAAATGACAATTATATGACTCCAATTGTATGAGCTATTTAACAATATGCAAATTTATAGACACAGAAATTAGAATGGGGGTACAAGGGGCTGGGGGTATTTGGGAATGGGGAGTCACTGCTTAACGGGTACAGAGTTTCCAATTGTGAATGTAATTAAGGCCACTGAATTATACACTTAGAAATAATTAAAAGGCTCATTTCAAAAAATAAGCCCCTCCCCCCCAAAAAATGAATAGTGTTCACAGAATAAAACATGTTACAGAGAACTTATATTTTGCATAATTCTGCTTATATGCAAAAAATTCAAACTGGATAACTTCATTTGTAGAAGAAATGTATTCCACATGAACCATTATACAGGATAAAATATTTTATGTCTTCGAAAAATAGAACACTTCACATCAATTCTATAGTCCTTCGAACATGAAATAATGAATTAGGACAGTTTAAACTTTCCATTAGATTTAGTAAAGAAACAGAAAAAAATTGGTCAAAATTAAGACTTCTGCATATTTACACTCACTAAGTCAATCCTTCCACAAAACCATAAAAAATAAATAAACTAGTAGAATTTAAAGAACGAATGGAATGAAGACGAGGTAATAACATACTTATTATCGTCCACTGTACCAGTCAAAATTCAAGCACACAATAAATGTCATTATTACCTTGTTTTCGCTGGATGAATCTTCTTGAACCTTAATGCGTCGCCTTTTCTTTTTCTGTTTATAACTCCGCTGATTTTCTTCCAACTCTGCTTTCTTTGCAGACCTAAATAACATTTAAAATGCAAAATAAAATACTTAACAACATATTTCCTTAAATGAATTATTTACTATTTAGAACTGCTTTACCTTTGTGTACATTCCTAAAGAAGAGAAAGGAAATAAAAAAGCAAAGTAACTTCACTAGATTCAAGATGGATAAAACTCAATTCTAATCTAATGATCAACATTTTAAGTTATTCAGAGAAGAGATTTGGCACATTAGTAATGAGATAGATGGAGGGTCTTTAGAAATATAAATGGCCAATATACACATAAAAATATTCACCATCTCTTTAAAAGAGCAGAATTTAAATGCTGTATACTATTTTCTTTATATCAACTCACTTAAATTAAAAAAAAAGTAACAATAGTTTTGGTGAGAAAAGTTCTTCTGGGCTAAGAAACTGGTACACAAAGCTACATTAATACAGAATTATGTTCCTGGCATAAAGGACAGGCACACAGGTCAATGGAAGAGAAATAAAATTTTACATTTATGGTCTACTGATTCTCCACAAAGGCATTAAGACAATTCAATAGGGAAAATATAGTCCTTTCTACAAATTGTGCTNTATGTCAGATATATTTTTCAATAAAAATCTTAAAAATAATTTTTAAAAAGAATACATTAAGGGAATCAACAATAAATTAGATGAAGAAGAGGATGAATCATTGATTTGGAATATAAGGTAGCACAAAACACCCAATCATGACAGGAAAAAGGAAAGCGAATCCAAAAAAAAATGAGGACAGTTTAAGGGGCCTCTGGGACATCAAGCGTACCAAATTTACATCATAGGGGTACCAGAAGGGAAGAGAGAGAGGGCAAGGAATTGAAAAACTATTTGAAGAAATAATGAGAGAAAACTACCCTAACCTGGCAAAGAAAATGGACATACAAGCCAAGAAAGCACAGAGTCCCAAACAAGATGAATCCAAAGAGGCCCATATCAAAACACAACATAATTAAAATGCAAAGGTTAAAGATGAAGAAATAATCTTAAAAGCAGAAAGAGAAAGGAAGTTAGCTACCTACAAGGGAACTCATATAAGACTGTCAGCTTTTTTCTCCACAGAACCTTTGCCGGCCAGAAGGGATTGGCACAAAATATTCAAGGTGATGAAAAGCAAGGACCTACAACCAACATGAGTCTGCCCTGCAAAGCTCTCATTTAGAATCGAAGGGGCAAAAAGAGCTTTCCAGACAGGAAAAAGCTAAAGGAGCTCATCATCACCAAAAAAGTATTATAAGGATCGTTAGAGGGGCTCCTTTAAGAAGAGAAAAAGATTAAATAATTTGAATAAATTGGGTAACTACATATCTCTCAACAGTTACTTTAAATATAAGTGGATTAAATATTCTACTCAAAAGACATAGGGTGTCTCAATGGATAAGGAAACAAGACCCTTAAACATGCGGCCTACAAGAGACATCAGACTGAAAGACACACAATCAAAGTAAAGGAATGGGAAAAGATATTTCATTAAAATGAAACAAAGAAAGCAAGCTCTGGTGGCAATACTTACACCAGACAAAACAGACTTTAAAAGAAGGGCTATAACAACAGACAAAGAAGGACCTAGTAATTTCACATCTGGGTATTTATCTGAAGCAACGTAAAACACTAATTTGAAGACATATATGTATCTATATGTTCACTGCATCATTATTTACAATAGCCAAGACACAGAAGCAACCTAAGTATCCATCAGTAGATGAATGGATTAAAAAGTGGTATATGGGCCGGCCGAGTGGTGTGATGGTTAAGAACTGGCTTGGGACACCAGAGGGCCCCGGTTCGGNTAAGGGACTCACTCAGCACTGGAGCAACAGTTCAAAAGGCACCAGAAAAATACTGGGAGGAACTGAGTTGTCTGGCTACAGGGCAAGGACTGGAGAGGTAGCCTACTTCCGGGCAGAGGAGCTGGCAGAAGCCATTGTTTCTTTGTTGAGCCTTCCCCACTGCTGGTGGGCAGATGCAGGCAACCAGCATACCTGAATTTCCATCAACCTAGCTAACACGGTTTTTGCACGGACTCCCTAAGGCCACACATCACCCATATTCAGGCACACCCAAGCCACTTCTTGTGGCTTTTCAGTACAAATGGCCTACATTGGCTCATGCTGCAGCTTTTCTCGAAATCACTTACAGGTTCACAAAACCAAAACAGCAGCATGTGGCTTTGGTGTATCCCGAACCTCTGGCTAAGCAACCCCAAGTCTGGCATAGGTGACAACAAGTCTTGGTTTGCAGCTTGACTTCTTGAGGCACCTCCAAGCATAGCATGGGTAGTGGCCAACTACAGATTGCTTTGTTGATTATGCCAGGTGAATCCAGGCAGGCCATAGGCTGTTGCTGAACTTAGATGGCAGTGGGTCCCCTCCCAGGAGTCCCTGGGGCTGATATTCCCAGTAGCCAGCTTCAGAAGAACCCAGAGTATCACCCAGCCACCACCAAGGTCAGCACACAAAAAGGGCAGACTGGGCAGGCACCAGGGCCTTGCTAAACCAAAGTCTGCTCTTTAGGGTCAGCCTATGCACCATAGCTATTCAACTGTAGTCACAGCGAGTCCTCACAACCAATCAGCCTGAGGAATAATCCCTCCCAATGATATGCAAACAGCAACCAAGGCTCAACTACAACAGGAGGACACACACAACCCACAGAACAGACATACTTGGAGCACCTGGCTCTGGTAACCAGGAAGACTGCACAACNGGTTCAGATCCCACATATGAGGGCCAGTGACACTGCCCTCCACAGCTAAGATGCTGAACAACAGCTCAACCTGGATTTGGGCAGCCGTGAGTCGCCGGCTACAGCATAGGCTGCAGCCCCTGCGGCAGTGGGTTGCCATGGGCTACCGTGTGTAGCCAGCAGCCAGTGTGAGCGGCCAGCAACCGCAGTGAGCGGCCGTCCAGAAGCCTGGGACTGATCTGCCTCACCTGGGAAGAGCGCAATGATGGTGCCAACTTGGGCCAGTGAAGCAACATCCTACACAACTAGACTGAAGACCAAAATGACAGCAACTTGTCTGTTCCCCTTCCCCCAATTCCTCAGCACTATTCTCATCCCCCCAATTCCCCAATAAAAAAAAATCTTTAAAAAAATTTAAAAACACCACCTTTAAACACATGAAAGAAAAAAAAAACTACTATCAACTTAGAATTCTATACCCAGGGATAGTAACATTCAAAAATGAAAGGAAAAGGCAAACGTCAAAAAAATGATGGACTACGAAGCTCCAACCTCTCATTTCAACACAGAAATGTCAAAGAAAAATAATCAGAAACTGTCTGGACCAATTTTATCAGTGTTCTGGAACACAGCCAAAGGTTTACAGAAACCCAGTGAATGCTCAGTTAAGAAAAACCCATCTTCAAAATAGTAGGGGAGTTTTATGGTATATTTACTTGCCCTAACCGTATCACCTCCCTGGTGAAGTGATGGTCTTTTTCTTCAAGCAGCATCAGCCTGGTTGCCAGTTCCCTCTCTCAAATGAAGGAGTACAGCAGACCTTATTTGCAAATTATTGTGTATGTCTGTTCTAACCTGTCTGGGGGATAACTGAAGGATTGACATAAGACTCTTGTCACCGTTTCACTTAACTTGAAACTCTGGTAGGAAAAACAGCACACACAGGTTATTAAAAAATAATTTTAAAAAGTACAAGGCAAATATAAACCCACAAACACCAGGGAAAAGACATCATAGGTGGAGACATTAAATTGACCAACAAAGGCCCAGAGAAGAATTTGTAATGAGACTTTTGGAATTTAGAACATTCAAAACCAGTAACATATGTAGGAGAATTTAGAAAGCCACATGTATGCCTAGGCAAAACACATGCTCAGAAAAAAACCCTGAGAAGACCTTAAGTTTGAATCTTGGGCTAGTGCCTAGCTCCAGGACAAGCCTAGTTAAGTACTAAAGGAGTGCTTCAGTGCACAGTCAATCTGCAAAACTAAAAAAAAAAATGAGGCATTCAAGGAAATCTCTTTCAAAATATTAGCAGAACATTAATAAAAGGAACAGACTTCAGTGATGACACAAAACAAGGAACAGACTTTGCAAAAATAATTGGGAAGCATCTCAAAACGATCATATTACTACAACCTAAGAAAAATAAATATAGCAAAACCATACTAAGAGAGATAGCTTAGTTTCCAAAATTATCACATTATAATATTCAAATTAGCTATTTGCAATAAAAAGAAAAATCACAAACCATACAATGAAATAGGAAAAGTGGCGCATTCAAGACAACAAAATAAAACAGAAACCACCCCTGAGAAATCCACAAAAGTATACTTACTAGATAAAGACATTAAAGTAATTATCTTTATTATGCTCAAAAACCCAAAAGAAACCATGGACAAAAAACTAAAGGAAATGAGAAAACGGAGGTGTGCACAAACTAGAACTATTAACAAACAGGTAGAAATTACAAAAAGGAACCAAACAGAAAATCTGCAGCTGAAAAAGACAGTAAGTAAAATAAAAAATTCAAAAGGGATTCAATAGCAGGTATGACCAAGCAGAAGAATTAGCAAGCATGAAGATGTGAATAGAAATTATCCAGTCTTGTGAGACATCAAGCTGACCAACATATATATTATGAAAGTCCAAGAAGGAAAAAAAGATAGAGGAGTACAAAGATAATTTGAGGGAATAATGGCCAAAAACTCGCTAAATTTGAGTACAGAGCACAATCTACAACTCCCAAGAGCTCTTCAAAGTCTATACATGATAAACTAAAAGAGATCCAGACAAATAACATTATAATCAAACTTTATAAACTGATTTCTCATGAGAAAATTGGAGGCCAGAAGGCAGTGCATACTTTAAAGTATTGAAAGAAAATAACTGTCAGCTGAAAATTCTGTACAGAACAAAGTATCCTTCAAAATAGAGTGAGAAATTAAGACATTCCTAAGCCAAGGGAGTTCATGAAAACTACACCTACCCTAAAAGAAATGCTAAAGGGAGGTCTTCAGGTTAAAATGAAAGAATGCTATACAGTAACTCAAAGATATATAAAGAAATACATATCCATGAAAAACAAACATAAAGGGGCAAATATAAAACTCAGTATTATTTTAATTTGAGTTTGTAACTCCAGGTTTATTTTCTATTGAGATTTAAAAACAAAAGCATACAAAATAATTATATGTTATTTGGCATAAAATGTAAAAAATGTAATTTATGACATGAATAATATTCAAGGGGAATGAAGCTGCATAAGCTTTACAGTTCATATATGCAATTGAAGTTAAGTTCATTTCAATTCAAATTACATCGTTATGACTTCACGATNAGCCGGCATAAGCTGCCATGAGCCGCCATGTGGCCGTCCAACGGCCGGCGACTCATCTGCCTCACCTGGGAAGAGCGCAATGCTAATACCAACATGGGCCAGTGAAGTGACGTCCTCAACAACTAGACTGAAGAACAACAGGACAGCAACTTGTCTGTCCCGCTTCCTCAATCCCCCAATGCTGTTCCCCTACCCCAATAAAATCTTAAAAATATATATAATTTTAAATTCTAAATTACCCCGTTTGTGAATTAAATCTTAATACAGCTATGATTTTTAAAATAATTAAATACTTTTCTATATTAAAAAATTAAAAAAACTTCAAAGGCTCTCCAGCCTAAGGGAGCCTAATATACTTTTCAGTCACTTCCCAAAATGTTTTCCTATTCCTAGTGGCAAAGAAGAGTTAATCTTCCCTTCAGGAGTTGGTTAGTAAAGTGTTCAGAATGTGCCCCTAAGAAGCAAAAAACTTTCTTTGAACTTTTTGTTAGCCAAAATTCTTAGGCAAATTTCACATTTAATTATCTCAATATGCGTGTGATAATTTAATATAAGAATACTCTCCCCCCAACTCTAAAGTAAAAAGAACACACCAAAGAGATGGACCATGTTTTACTCTACAGCCTTATGCACCCCTGGACTTACTGCCAAGGGTCTCCAGTACATGGTCTTTGGCTCATTGGCCCAGCTTCATTTCCTGCTGTTCCTTTAGATACTCCCTCCTATAGTCCAACCGTACCATATTAATTGCACCGCCTCCACCATTTACCATTTTGCAGAGGCTTTTAAAATTTTTTCCCTGCTTGCATTATAAACCTTCACAACACATCCACCTGCTTCCCAATTACAACTTCGTCCACTGAGTGAAATTCCTCATCTTTATGAAGTCTTCCCTGGGGATAACCCCCTAAGAAGCTAAAGAAACACTCTTTTGTGCCACACTATACAGTAGCTCTGTTATACAAGATATCTCTCATGGTGCTATAATTTCTTATAATATTAATGTCAATAATTCTTACTAAACCAATAACTTCCAAACCTGGCTAGTTATCAGAATCATATCAGAGATGCTTTTAAAACATATGGATACCTAGGTCCCACCACCACCGATTATACTATGTTAGTTGGCTTGGGATGGAGCCCTGTCACAGGTATATTTCAAAATCCCTGAAGTGATTCACATGTGTAGCCAGACTGAAAACCACCATATAAGACAATGATTTCCTTATTCATTTTTGTATCCTCAGTGTTTACCATCATGCTAGAAACACGTAAGTACTCAAGCAGAAGGATTCAAACTTTAATGTAATGAAAATTTAATCTGACTACATAGAAGTTTTGTATATAAACTTGCATAAATGTACCCTAACTAATTGTATCTTCTCTCTTTCCTTAGGAAAACATTATTTCTTCCTGCAGTTATCGGCAAGCCTATATTTTCTATATAGCTTTTATTTGTTGTTAAAGTTATTTATCTCTTTAATCTAAATGTGTGTAACTACTAAAAGTTAAAAATATTCTTGTGTCATCTCTCAAGTTTCTGGGATATCTTCCCACTCTACATTCTTTACTTCACTCTCATGTAAGAGAATACTTATTGCCAGTGTGCTGATATTTACTAATATAGGTGGTCAATTGTAGGAGCAGACATCTTAAATTTCATTACTATAATTAGTTTATAAAACCAAAATGTTCCTTACACTCAAAATTAAAATGTCTTGGGCCGGCCGAGTGGCGCGATGGGTAAGAGTTGGCTTGGGACGCCAGCTCTGAGCAGCAGAGCCCCGGTTCAGATCCCACATGAGGGCCAGTGACACTGCACCCTCTACAGCTAAGATGGTGAACAACAGCTCGACCTGGAGCTGGGCTACCTTGAGTTGCCAGCGACGGCGTAGGCTGCAGCCCCTGCTACAGTGGACTGCCATAAGCTACTGTGAGTGGCCATCCAGTGGCTGGCGACCGATCTGCCTCACCCGGGAAGAGCGCAATGATAATACCAACATGGGCTGGTGATGCAACATCCTCCACAACTACACTGAAGAACAAAAGGACAGCAACTTGTCTGTTCCCCTTCCCCAATTCCCCAATAAAATCTTTAAAAAAAATTTAAATGTCTTACCCTTCCTTCTATTTCTGCTTTTGGCTTCTTTGTGCTCTTTAGGCTTCATCTTTTTTTCTTCTCCAGATTCTCCATCACTCACAGTCAGTTTGTGCCTCAAAAGCCTGTGTCTGTATCTTGGCTTCTTAGATTCTTCAGAATCTGAATCTGATTCAGAATTGACTTGATTTTTTGCTTCTAAATGGAGGAAAATAAATCAGGAAAACTTTCAGCCTTTTCTCCTTTAAAATGTTTTATAAAACCATTTTGTTGATGATTTTCATGATTTATAAAAAAGATCAGAACTATGCACTTACCTGGGTGTCACTGGTGATACCAGGCAAGCTCATACATCAGACTTGATCTATTACTTTTTTAAAATATTAATTAAGTATCACCAATACATTTTGTAGATTTTTTAAAGGTAAAAAATATTTTGCTTTAAAAATCATCTGTTTATGGGCAGTGACTGACAAAACGTGCAAAATTATTAAAAGATACTCAAATGGAGTAAAGGTAGTAAAGTTTTAAACATTTTAATAAACTTCAAATATATGTATTAAAAAAATGTATGGTCACATAGTCTTCAACGACTGAACTGGTCAAACAATCAAATTATGGCATCCTATACTTTTCTTTGGGGAGCTCACCCTCATCTCCTGGGTTTTCTTCATTGTGCTTTCCAGTTCTTTTTTTCCCTTCTTCTGGTTCATCATCTGAAGATCCATCCTCATCAGAGGAAAGATTGGCTTTAATTTCTTCTAAAAGCATCTTCTTGGCAATTCTTGAGAGTAAAAAGACAATAAAAAAACTACGTATTTGGTGAAGAACAAAATAAAAATTAAAAACAAAAATAAAGAATTCTGCTTCAAAACGAAGACAAATGTGTCAATAGACTCTACATTGTAAATAAAACACTACCAGAATCATGTTTTAACCTAAGCTATCAAATAAAACTTTTGAAAATGCTCTTAGCACTGATATTTTCAAAATTCAAGCAATTCTGCGATATATTGAAAAATCTGAGGGACACTTCTACTAACTGTTTTGACCAATTGTTACTTCATGCTGGACAATCTTCTAATCCTATATTTACTCTGCTGCCATCATCCAATAACTACAATGTTAGACAGGCCCACAATAGTAAATTTACTTATTCAGACAAATGGCATTCCAACACAAAACTCCACATGACAGGATTTATTCAACAGCAAAACATATTCTTAGAATATCAGTATGTAAGAAGCCTCTTCATTATAAGACAGTGCCTCAAACTGGGAAATAATATTTTTGGCCCTTAAATTTCAATTTACTTCATAAGTTATGTTAAATAAATGGAAGCAAACACTAAATATTAAGCATTGAAGTGATCAGAAAGCCCTAATAATATTCAAACTAGGGCAGACAGGACATGAGTGCTATTAATTATACACATGGTAATTATCATAAATGAGTTTTCACTTTCCAAAATAGTAGACAGTGCAATAGCTGCATTCATATTAAAATTTCTCATGATGCTCCCCAAAGACCAACTTGCTAATGGAAAATCAACTCCTAAAAGCAAAAGAAAGTACTTCTTTAATACCATCTTATGTTGAAATATATTCCTAATAAGTTTACATGTTTGCAATAAGGAAGACATCTTAAACCATAAAAGCAATCATGCAGCTTTTGTGCAAGACGAGGAGTTTTGCACCTGCGTGTCCTTTTGATATACATTCATGAATCACAGTAACAAAGGAATACCTTATAGAAAGGTTCAAAAGGAAGGTGGCATGATTCTCAATTTGCCGTGAATTAAATTCTATACATAAACATCTACTCTACAATCTGACTTTGTGGCTCAGTCAAAAACTTGTTAGAATTATGGAACTTTTGTTATTTTGAATTTGAAACTCCTCTTTATATTTAACATGCACTCACATTTCAATCAATAATTCATTCAATAAAATATATTAATGCATGTTAATGGCCTCTTAATTTAAGGTAGATTTTTCTATTTATATTCAAAGATATATAGCAAAGGCAGCTAACCAGAGTGAAGCAAAATAGATAATCACCTCCATAAATGCCTATTATATATGTATTTTGGTGCTTTCCGCTCCCCCCCCCCAAAGTGGGATCAGAAATATTTAGACAACACAGAGAGTTACCAATTGCTAAAGGAAACCACAAATGAGTTTGTGTATCTGAGGGTTTCTGCTCTGATTTGCAATTCAATAAATTGCAGATTAGATCACTTCCAGTTTAAATCCTACTGGTGTTGAATTATAAAACATTGCTCAAACAGGGTCAAATATATGGTGATGGAAGGAGAACTGACTCTGGGTGGTGAACACACAATGTGATGCTATATAGATGATGTAGGAGTATTACAGATTGTACACTTGAAACCTATGTAATTTTACTAACCATTATCACCCCAATAAATTTTAATTAAAAAAATAAAAATAGAAACATTGCTTTTAAACTTCTAGATCCATGGTTTGCTGACATGTGTTGCACACAGTAAACATTTTTAAAATGAGGACTAATACAGGATTGCCAACTTTTTGTTTTGCCAAGAAAAAAAATTTAAACCCAAATGTCATTTATTTTCACCATTTTATAAAATAAAGAATATTTCAATACACCCTCCACAAATTAAGAAATAGTTTCAGAATAAAGGGTGGTTCTTTAAATGCAATAAAAGCATCGTTCTGAAAAAACTCTAAATCACCTTTAGTACTATATTGTCATTTCCCATGGACAGGGAAAAACTCTCTCAAACCATTTTGGATAAAACCACTGTTTTGGAATAAATAAATGTGCAAAGGCATGTGTGTGTGTATACATGCACACAATGCGGAGTGTTGTATACTAAATTACAAATAGAAAAACATAGTTCACTTGCAGTTACAACATCTTATATCACCATTTTGGTGAGAGAATAATAGTCAACAAAAACACAGTTCATTAATTTAGTTAAAGATTATTTCAATCACATGATTTCAGTTTGTTTTTACAAGTTCAAATAAAGTCTTAACTGCCATATTACCTATAAAGACTTGGTTGTTAATTTTAAGAAGCCACATAATTTTTCTTCTTTCAAACTCTAGACTCTGTCTACTAAACAGAAGGTAGAAATATGTAAACCTACCTAATTCATACTCAAGTTGTGGACTGTCATGAACTAAGAAATATGATATGCATGAGATAATACAATTCTATATCAACTAATAAATCATGGAAATTGAAATGAGATCCACACACTGAAGGATTACACAATTTATCAACAACCTTCCATAAGACCATAATATATAGAATAATCAGTCACTGCAGAAGCAGAAAAATATTACAAACTTCAGAGAATGGTCATTTTTCTGCAAATTGAAAGCTACACACAGAGCGATGGAGACTCCCTAAGCTACACCTCACCAAGATGTTTTAGATGTGCCCTCTAACACCTTTTGACCAAAGGAAAACCTAATGTATAGATAGCCATGTATATTAATCCATAAAAAGGATAATAAAATTAATTTCCACAAATTATGACTAATGGCTCAAGTCCATTATGTCAAAGGGCCACTGTATCATAAGCCTAGCCTATCACATAGCCTACACCTCAAAGTTGAAACTTAATTGGAAGGACCTAAAGGCTAAGGCTGACCTTCAACCTCAGTCAACAAACATGTTGAAGTGAGATGGGTACCATCTACCAAGCCCGCTGTGATATGCTGTTAAGAGAAGCTCCACTGCCTTAACTCTTGAGTCACGGGTCACAGAGACTTCAAGGACATCATCACTTGAGAATCAGCAGAGGCTGGCAAAGCATCGTTTTGGAGGCCTCTGCTGGACGCATGCTGGTATGCATGTGATGGATGTATAATCATGATCCCTAGTTAATTCTGTTTGCTCCAAAGGTTCCTTTCTTCAGGCTTTCAAGACATTTCTGAGAAAATCATCCAGGCAACAAGGTAGTGCCCGTGGAATCTCAATGCTATTACATCTTGGGGCAGGTGTAGCATCCAAAGCAGTCACAACTTTAGCAGAAGCACCAGAGGCACAGGCTGTGCCCCTCTTGTGGCAGAAACCCTGGGCAGAGCCTAAAGTAATGGAGCCATTACTCCATTTTCCTGAAAGGGTAGCAAGGGAGAGGGGAGGGGGAAAGCAAAACAATATGGTAGTGAGGGTAGAAACCCACAAAGAAACAACTATCGTAACTGGTTCATGAAGAGAATAAATAGAATCCCCAAACCAACAAGCTTAAGTTTTCTAATTCACACAATGAATACCAAGATAATGCTTATTACACCTTACACCTTTATCTACTAAGAGAGCAAAAATAAAATAAGGGATGAGCCCAAAAACGCAAAGGTGAACAAGCAATCAGAAAAAATTAGAAAGAAATGCGTTTAGTAATTCTGATCCTATCCAGAAAGAAAATGAGTAACGTCTCTTGTTTAAGCACTCAAACAGGAAAAGAAAACTACCTTTTGCTGATGAGTAGATTCAAAATGTTGAGTTTCTTAAAAAAAAAAAAGAAAGAAAGAGGAATCAAGATAAAAATCTCATACGAGAGAGCTTTAGAGAAACAACCATTGGAAAACCAGCACAAAATGTTAGAGCTAGAAGAAGGGACCTTAGAGTCCAATTCTGTCCTTTTACATATGAGGAAATGGGCTTAAGAGAGGGGGAATGACTTGGCCAAAGGAACAAAACTGTTAGTGACATTCAGGAGTAAAACCTAAGATCCTGAGCCCCAACTGCTACTAATTTTACTATGCCAGTGCTATACTCTCTACTCATTCACTACTTCTGTCCTAATGAGTGCTTGAGCAAATACACTATAGTCATATTCTTAAAGATATCTGTATTTCATTGATTTTCAATATATGTATTTAGAGAGAATTCAAGCTTTGATTTTTAAAGATTAAAACAAAAATATGTTCTACACATCATTAGTCCAGTATGTTCCATCTCTAAAATGCACTTACAGTACATATCAGGTACATCCTACAATATACTGTTTTATCTTTTAAGAGGTTCTGAAAAATGGTTTGAAGAAAAATGATAAATAAAAAATACATTTTTAGAAGGTCAAAATACTGTGCATCCTTACACAAAAGTGACAAATTTTTTATAAATTTTTTTTTCATTTTGTGCACAATATCACAACAGAATAGTTAGTTAAAACAGAGAATTCTGAATAAGTTTATAGGTTTAAATATATGCCCTCTAGAGATACAAAGAAACTAAGTATATGTAGTCGTTAAAACATAGTAACTATTTAAAAGGTTGATATGTAAAACAATTCAAATGACTATAGTCAAAGAATGTTGAATATTTTTTGAGAGAACAGGTTGATGAACACATCCTTCTAGTAGTGAGTCTTTGTTTTAATAAACATTATATACTTCAGTATTAAGAATAAAAAGTAAAACATTTAATAGAATTGCTATGGAATTCCTCACCTTCAAAATCTGTATTAGTATTTTTTTAACTCTTTGGCTCATAATTAGTATATTGATATGAAACTTTCTATAAAAAGTATGACAACATAGAAATTTGTATGGCAAATGGTGGAATTTGTGAGATGATGAAGTTGCTAAATAATCAAAAAGCTAAACAAGAGTTTGAAATAGTATAATGAAAAACAGCAGTTTTCTTTTCAGTGAGAGTACCAGGAAAATTAGTGTCAAATAACTTTTTCAAAAAAAAACATAGCAGTAGAAAAATAAAGGCTGGGTGATATTAAGAAACCAGAGTTTATAACAATTTACTGGTATATCAAATTACAAAATG